TTTTTTTTTTTTTTTTTTGAGGTGGAGTTTTGCTCTTGTTGCCCAGGCTGGAGTGCAGTGGTGCAATCTGAGCTCGCCACAACCTCCACCTCCCGGATTCAAGTGATTCTCCTGCGTCAGTCTCCCGAGTAGCTGGGATTACAGGCGCCCGCCACCATGCCCGGCTAATTTTTGTAATTTTAGTAGAGATGGGGTTTCACCATGTTTGCCAGGCTGGTCTCGAACTCCTGACCTCAAGAGACTCACCCACCTTGGCCTCCCAAACTGCTAGGATTACAGGCATGAACCACCATGCCCAGCTGGAAATTTTTTAATCCATATTTTTTTTCTAGTTTATATGAACTTGTTTTATATACTCAAATATTTGATTGTTCTGAGAATTATTTTGGAATATATTTCACCTTTCAGGTAAAGTCAAGAAGTTTCTGATTTTGTGCTCCAAAAATGTTATATCTCATTTTACTAATCAGAGCTTTCTTGTTCGTGTAATTATGTCTGTATCTATTCTGACATTTTCCCCTGCTCTAATCTCACACATCCACACCATAGATGTGTTTCCCTAATTTCTTAGTAGAATTCAGGTGTGTTTGATTTACTATTAAAATTAAAAATGATTCAGAATCATTAAGACATCTTTCTGTTTCAGCTTGGTGTGTGCTGTGAGTTATACAACTCAGGCTGGAGAAAAAATGTATTTTAGAAAATTCTTCAAATTTCAGGTATTGAATATGACAATGGTAAATAGTTTTTATATGCCTTTTTCTTCCTGGTAGTGTACAGTTATTCCTGATTATCTGCAGGGAAAACAAGATCCAAATAAAGCAAATAGCTCAATATTTTTGAATTTGTCATATGACTAGCAGTCTAAACTGAGACTAAATTAACATAAATAAAAGCAGAGGAATTATCATTGCCAATATGTTTTTGTAATGAAACTTGAAGATGTTTATTCAAAATAAAAGAAAAAAATAGCTGAGTCTGGCACAGTGGCTCACACCTATAATCCCAGTGCTTTGGGAAGCAAAGTGGGGAAGATCACATGAGGCCAGTTCAAGATAGCCCAGACAGCATGACCTAGGACTACAGGTAACACAAGCCTGTAATCCTAGCTACTTGGGAGGCTGAGGTGGAATGATCGCTTGACCCAGGTTTCAAGTCTTCAGTGAGTTGTGATCATGCCATTGCACTTCAGCTTGGTCAACAGAGCAAGACTCTGTCTCTAAAAAGTAAATAACTTGTTTTTATGGCCTGACAAAACACACAATGTAGACAAGGGATAAAATGAGTGTAAAGTCCAGATAAAATGAGGGTAAATAATATCAAATTTCTAAAGAAATTTAAAGGAGAGACAATTGACTTGGAGTGAGTAGACTGAGCTTCCTTCAAGGACTCCAGGAATCACGGGAACTTTGAGTTTTGTATTAATACACAGTTTTCAGCGTCCATCAAAAATAGTTAAAAACCACTGGCTTAACACATTGATGTAGGAGGGTGAGGAAATGTGAATACCACATATGTCTATTATAAATATAGATCTTAATATGATGCTGTATATGATTTTTTTTTTCATTCCTCTGTAAGTGGAAGAAAAAATACTGTTCACAGGGAAAAAAAAAATCTGCCATTCTTTTGCAGAATCATTCATTTGCATGCTTTTTGAAAGAAAATAGAAAGTGATTCAATTTTTTTTTTTTTTGAGACGGAATTTTGCTCTCGTTGCCCAGGCTGGAGTGCAAATGATGCGATCTCAGCTCACTGCAACCTCCGCCTCCCTGGTGCAAGTGGTTCTCCTGCCACAGCCTCCTGAGTAGCTGGGATTACAGGCACCCGCCACCATACCCAGTTAACTTTTGGATTTTTAGTAGAGACGGGGTTTTGCCATGTTGGCCAGGCTTGTTTCGAACTCCTGACTTCAGGTGATCCGCCTGCCTTGGCCTCCGAAAGTGCTGGGATTACAAGAGTAGCCACTGCGCCCAGCTCAGTTGCTTTTTTTGCAAACAGTTTTTATGAATATACCTATAGAAAAATACATAAAATATATGTGTTTTGTTTAACAAAATATTATGGAGCAAAAACCCATGTAATGTAACTATCACCCAGTAAAGAAATAACGGTAGCCTTTCAAAACATGCATTTAGGATTCTTTTTTTTTTTTTTCCTTTTTTTCTTTTGGAAGAATATTGCATACCTATTAGATAAGTCTTTTAACAATTAAAATTGGAAAATGACAAATTTACGCTATGTGATTTTAAAAAAATAAAAATAAATGGTCACATGATAACAATTTCCTGATTGATATGCTTTATTTAACCAGGTTCTCAAACCATTGGATGTGAAAACCAAATTTTACAATGCAGAGGTGAGTGTTGAGTGCTTAATGGGATTTCATATTAAACATTAAGATCTTATTTGACTAAAAATCTCTTATATACATTTCTAATACTGAAGCAAATTGCCAACGTGACTGTAAATTATTTGAAAAAATCATAAATTTCAGTTAAAATTGAATAATTTTATTGTAGGTCTCATAATCTTTTTCAACTTACGTGGAATCAATGTGTCTTGATTTTTATTCTCACTGTTAATTTTATAAGGCTTTCATCTCCTTTTGTTAAATGATTGCCCCCTCATTCCATTTAATGGTGGTTGTTACACTAGCAATCTGTTGAATATTTACATGTGGTTCTGGATATTACAAAAATTGAATTAGTAGATCTAACCCTGCAAAATAAGATTTAATATTCACATGGAAAAATATTGACTAGTGAAGCTTAGCACATTAAATTATTTCCAGGGTAGTCAGTTTGCCAGCCAGAATTAGGTTGCTGGGTTTGGTGTAATGGCTTTAAAAGCTCCTTGGGAAAAACAAGTTTGGCAAAAATAGAAGTAACTTTTATAATAGAAGATACTTTATCTTTTACCCTAAAAAAAAGATATAAAATAGAACTTGCCATAGGAGAAAGGATTTATTGCTTGGATTTCTTTTTTAAGATTTTGTTTTATCTTGGCTTCTAGAGCTGCAGAAAAATCAGATCTCTTGATAGCCCTCTTATCCCCCAAAATCATGTGTTTCATACCAGTGATAAACTCAAATATATCCAAATACAGTATTTTGAAATGAAGATTATATCTCTGCTACTCTAAAACTAGATAATGATCAGACATTTTCAATCACATGGCAAATTTGACATTTATTTTTACCATCCACAATCTGAATTTTTACTCAGTAAAATTTATACTCTAGGATTTCTAAGATGTCAAAGTAAGGAACCTAACCTGCAGCAAAGACCTATTAGGAGAAAAGAAAAAATGCATATAATAACAAAACTACCTAGAATGGAATATAGTGAGAATGATATGAAAAAATGTGTTACAAGAGCTCTCGGTGTGATCTTGGAATAGTTTAAAGAAGCTTTATGAAAGAGAAAAAAGGCTGGATTGGAGTCTGAAAGGAATGCATGTTGGAAACAGACAAGTGTCAAAGCAGTAAAGGCATTCAAGCAGGGTTACAAATAGACATGGAATATCAAGTACATAGGAAAGAGTATACATATTTGACAAGAGGGAAAAGCATCATCAAAAAGATTACTAGATGTTTACAAAGTTGATGTTTCTTTTGTGGGGGATAGGTGAGTTGGAGTAATACATATTTATTCCCTCTTTTTTGTTATTAATGGCATACTGTTGATTAATTACAGTATAGCTAGTCAGCATGGTGAGATTTAAATAGTCTAATTTACCATTTTGCTGGAAAAGATTTCATTTATAGTATGAGGGGAAAATGTTAACTATTCTATTAGAAAATTAATTTAAAATAGGGCAATAGGTGGGTTTTTTTTCTGTAACTGTCTCCTAGGAGTCACATATTCAGCTATTCTAGGTTTTCTTCATTAAAAATTTGATAGTACACTAAGATACCTGTCAAATAGTTTTATAACGCTAATATTTAGAGTGATTTGTGAATAATTTTTAAAATTGCTAGTTTTTCTATAAACATTATAGAAGTGACACGCTGTCCATAAAGAAATAAAAATTCACAATTCCGCCACACCAATTGATTTTTCATTAATACATACTCTTTTGCAGTCTTTATTCACTTATATATAATATTCTGTTTTTATAATCACAACAATTTTGTTTACTTCCTTTGTCGGTTAACATTATATGTTGACATAATCTTTAAATCTTGCTAACAAACTTCAATCAAAATAATTTCAGTAATATTCTGAACTTTTGAAAATAGATCTCACTTTAAAAATCAGGAGTGAACAAATAACATTTTGGGTCTCTCTAAGATACTTAATATTACCTATTAGACAAACAAATACTGTTCAGCCACTAGCATGAGGCAGATTATGTTGACCGCAACCAGGAATTTCAGGTAGATTGTAGGGGTTAATAAACCACAGCAATATCAGTAGGTGATGCATATTGCTCTGTGCTGTAGTCCTTTTACAGTTAATATTATTGGCCCCACATCTGTCTCAAACATATATTTTTGATTCTGTTTCTAATAATGCTGTAATATGTGAATCACCTAAAGGAAAACAAGTTCATGAAAAACTGTCATAGTTTTCTAAGATAGAAAAGCCTTGCAGGAAGATTGGTGAGACTAGAAGCCAGGATTCAAACATTTGGTCACCTGCCAGGTATTGAAGAGAACTATAAACAACATCTTCCCAGTCCTCAAGGGACCTGCCTTGAGGAGACTGATATGACGTAACTATAATGTAAGCCCCTCCCACACATACAAGCCAAATCGTGAAGTAATGTATTCTGGGTACCTAGAGAGGTGAAAAATGATTTCCAGCTATGCATTTGATGGAGGTGACATTTGAGATTGCTCTTAATAAACAGTTGAAGAAATAATGTAAGGAAAAAAAGGCTAACTATGAAATCTGCTAAGAAGAAGAAAATAAATTCTTAATTTTTTGAAGTGGTTCAGCCCACATTCCCTGAAGTGATCAATGGAACTCTAAGTGCCCAAGATATTCCTTAAAAAAAGGATTCCATTATTACATAAATTTAAGAGAAAGTATACGGTGTATATCTATTCTGAATGTGGAGGATAGTATATATTCATCCTAAATTATCTATGAAGAATTAAAATGTTGGTAAAGAATTATAGAACTAGAAAGTCATGGGATATACCTCTTTGCTCCAAAATGTGCCCTTAACAGTTTGCTACTGTTTGAGTATTCAGCCATAGTGTTCTTCTCTATTCCATTGTCATTTAACCTTAGCAGTTTCACCTTTTTAGAAAAATGGTTTGTCATATTTATGTTGCTTCCTGTTTACTTTCTTATTCACTAATGCTGTCTTGTTTAGTAAATTTAAAAAATGCAGAAATGCATTTTATTTTAAAGTAATTCTTTTTTCTTTAACATTTAACTCTGATTTTTCTAATTATTCTTTTTTATTTTTCCATTAGAGTGACCTCAGTTCTGTGGTAATTTGATTTTTTATTATAAATTTTTATACTTTTCTTACTCACCACTTTTTGACTCTGCCTAATTAATCTCTCTTTACAAAACATAGTGGAAAAACAGTTAGTTGTGAATACCACCTATGTGACTTCAGAAAGATTATATATAATTTTATGTATTTTTTATTATATCAATTTCTTACTCTGTGGGGGAAAATTAGCTCAAAAGTTAAATTGTCATATTGAAACAATTTTCATTTTCAGTGTTTCTTCTTTAGATTTTTTTTTAAAGAAGTATGTTACCTTGTGTAAAATGGCCTCGTGATTTTCATCATCTTACTATAAAATACCCAATTATCCTAGCCTTCAGTTCTTTGAGTAGACTGTATAATCGAAATTCATTTTCAGATGCACAGTGGTTTTAGTTTTAAGTGTGGGTCAGGTAATGATGGCCACTTGACAAAATGAAACAGAAGAAAAGCAAATTTTCCCAACTTGGCTAAAATTTTATTTTCAAACTTATATTTACAATAAGCAGCATTTGCTTATATCACATTACATATGTAATAACATCAACTGCCTTAGCACTGAATTCTTAATTTTTAAAATATCAAATTGCTTAACACTATTCAAACTAACTTGATTTTCCATTATGCTGCTTGTTTTTCTTTCGTTTTATCTAAGCTCTTCCTAAATTTACGCAGAAAATTGCAGTTTTTAAATTGAAATATGGGTCTGTGGTTATTTTTTTTAAAAGCAATGGATTGATGGGATATATGTACTTTTTTAGAACAAGTAACCAGAAAATGCCACTAAATGATACATTTTCTAAACTGATAAACATTTTATTTCTATTTTCATTTCAACACATGTCCCAAAGACTAAAGCATCTGTTTTATTTTAGATAATAGTACATTGTATTATAACTTAATCATTATATTTTTGCAAATGATTTTCATTTTCTTGGTGTTAGTGTTTAAAAAGCTCAGCCAGGCACGGTGGTTCATGCCTGTAATCTCAGCACTTTGGGAGGCCGAGGCGGGCGGATCACGAGGTCAGGAGTCCACGACCAGCCTGGCCAACATGGTGAAACGCCATCTCTATAAAAAATACAAAAATTAGCCAGGCGTGGTGGCACTTGCCTGTAATCCTAGTTACTTGAGAGGCTGAGGCAGAAGAATCACTTCAACTCGGGAGGCAGAGGCTGCAGTGAGCTGAGATCACACCATTGCACTCCAGCCTAGGTGACAGAGTGAGACTTTGTCTCAAAGTAAATAAATAAAAATACAAAATTAGCAGGGCATGGTGGCACTGCCTGTAGTCCCAGCTACTGGGGAGGCTGAAGCAGGAGAATCGCTTGAACCTGGGAGGCAGAGGTTGCAGTGAGCTGAGATCTTGCCACTGCACTCCACTCTGGGCAACAGAGCAAGACTCTGTCTCGAAAATAAAATAAAAGCTCATAGGCCAGGCATGGTGGCTCACGCCTGTAATCCCAGCACTTTGGGAGGCCGAGGTGGGTGGATCACTTGAGGTCAGGAGTTCTAGACCAGCCTGGCCAGCATGGTGAAACCCTGTCTCTACTAAAAATACAAAAATTAGCTCAGTATGATATTGCGCACCTATAATCCCAGCTACTCGGGAGGCTGAGGCAGGAGAATCCCTTGAACCCCGGAGGCGGAGGTTGCAGTGTACCAAGATCATGCCACCACGCTCCAGCCTGGGTGACAGAATGAGACTCTATGTCAAAAAAATAAAAAGCTCTTAAAGTGGCAAATTTTTCTGGTCATAGTTGATTTTATGTTACTTATGTGTAGTACACATATTACTATGAAAATTTTGAAAAAAATTCTTGAATATCCTTAGTGTATCATTTTTTATGTAGGTTTGTTTCAAAGATAAATCAAGTTAGTCTGTTATCCTTCAATTACATGAAGGAAAATAACCAAATAGCATAAAATAATGTTCAGCATAATTAGGGGAATTAATTTATCTAAAGTTAAGTATTTAAATACCTACTGGCAAATGTTGCTGAATAGCATCAGCTTTAAAATCTGTCACTGAGGCTACAAAATACCTCTTGCCTGATTTAAAAGCTCTACGATGGTGAAGTATAATTCATATATCCTTTTTTTAGCCCTCAATATACACTTAAAATGAACTAAGCAATCACTAATGACCACTCGCAAATTGCTTTAATTTAAAAAATTAAATCCTTCAAGATTACAAAATAGATTATTCATAGTACTAGTGGTCATTACACTATCTAAATTGACATCAATATGACAAAGTTATATTGCTGTATTATAATGAAGACTTAATCATCTTAACGTAATACTGAAATTATAGGAGCATAGGTATATTCATCATACTAAAGCACATTGTAATATTTTAATGCCTAATGAAAATAATTAGGGTATTTGTAAATGAAATTCTAGTTAAGTATTTTTGGATGTTAAGACAAAACATAGTTATCCTCCATCCATTGTTTGACAAGGTATCAGTTGACTAACACTTGACTTTGCCCCTGTTAATTATGATAGGGTGAAGATTTCTTTTCTTGCATTAATTGTGGTAACTTTGATTTGCAGGCATGAACTAATCACATTTGTGGTTAATATTTTTTCTTCATATAGATAGATATTTTTGTTGAGATAAATATTTTAAATGCCATCACACTTTGGTGGATATTTTTTTCATATCCTCAGACTGATGAAGTATTTCTGGAAGCCCAGATTCAGAATATGACAACCTCACCTATGTTTATGGAGAAAGTTTCATTGGAGCCATCTATTATGTACAATGTAACAGAATTAAATTCAGTCACCCAAGCTGGAGAATGGTAAATATTAATTATGAAGTCTTTATCCTTGTTTTGAAAGATACATGCTTTTCTAAACATCCATTCCTCTTGAGTGGGTTTTTTTTTTAATCGACTTTTTTTTAAAAGAATTTGAGGTTCATAGAAAAATTCATCAGAAAGAAGAGTTTCCACATACCCTCTTCCACCCCTCACAGTTTCTCTTGTTATTTACATCTTGTTTTTTATTTTATTTTTATTTTTATTTATTTATTTTGAGACAGAGTCCAGCTCTGTGGCCCAGGCTGGAGTGCAGTGCTTGACCTAGGCTCACTGTAACCTCCACCACCCGGGTTCAAGCAATTCTGGTGCCTTAGCCTCCTAAGCAGCTGGGATTACAGGCGCATGCCACCACCCTTGGTTAATTTTTGTATTTTTAGTAGAGGTGGGGTTTCGCCATATTGGCCAGACTGGTCTTGAGCTCCTGACCTCAAGCGATCTGCCTGCCTTGTCCTCCCAAAGTGCTGGCCTTACAGGCGTGAGCCACTGTGCCGGGCCTACATCTTGTTTTAATGTGGTACATTTACTACAATTGATGAACCGATACTGACAGTTATTACTAATGTCTATAATTTACATTAGAGTTCACACTTTTTGTTGTATGTTTTATTGTTTTTGGTTTTTGGTTTGTTTTAAGAGACAGGTCTCATTAATGTTGCCCAGGCTGAAGTCAAATTTCTGGACTCAAACGATCCAAGTATCTGGGACTATAGGCAAGCACTGTAGGTTTTGACAAATATATAACATGTATCCACCATTACTATATTATGCAAAATAGTTTCACTTTCCAAAAAATCTCCTGTGCTCCATCTTCATCCCTCCATTACATAAAAATAAAGATCCTAGCCCTTTGCATTTCATGTTTTACTATTCAAAGCACTTGGTCTTTTAAGTCTCATAAAAATCCAGTGAGGTAATAGATATCATTGCTATCCTGCAAATGATAAAATGAAGGAATGTGAAGGAATGGTGGAGAAGTTAAAAAGAGTAAGGGTAAATGTGGGTTTAAAAAAGAAATACTCTCTCAACATCAAAAGAACATAGGAATAGATGATTTAATATTTTGTGAAAAGGAAATACATATGCCTTTCCATAGCTAATTTAAAAGAGGAAGAATAAATGTAGGGTTGACAATAATACAGATAAGAAAGTAATAGGCTGGGTGTGGTGGCTCATGCCTGTAATCCTAACTCTTTGGGAGGCTGAGGCCAGAGAATTGCTTGAAGCCAGGAATTCTAGACCAGCCTGGGCAACTTAGCGTTTTTTTTATTTAGCTGGGCATGGTGGTACACTCCTGCATTCCTAGCTCCTTAGGAGAGTGAGGCAGAAAAATCACTTGAGTCCACAAGTTCAAGGCTGCAGTGAGCCATGATTGCACCACTGTACTCCAGCCTGGTGACAGAGAGAGACCCTGTATTTTAAACAAAAAAAAGAAGAAGAAGAAGAAGAAGGTAATAGCTTCGGAAAGCATCTGAATTTCTTAATTAGGAATGAAAAGTTTGCTTTTATATTATTAGGTTGGTTACACACAGAAAAGTTCATAGCCTCCTTTATCCTCACTGAGGAAACCAATTTTTCATTCTTTTCTAGATCTTTTAGTTCATTTTGAAAATTACTTTAGAATGGCATGTCTCTTATTATTCTAAACTATTATCTTTGATAATTTTAGAGAAAAGAGACAGGATACTTAAGGTTCTGGTTTCTGTTGCACTTTTCAGTTAATTGATACATGTTCAATTTTATAAGTAATATATTATATTCTATTATAAAGAACCTCCTTGAGCCCAGAAGTTAGAAATTACAGTGAGCTATGATCGTAACCACTGTACTCCAGCCTGGGTGACAGAGCAAGACCCTGTCTCTTAAAATTATTTATTAAAAAAAAAAAAAAAAAAAAAAAGGACCTCCCCTTTCAGGGTCCAATTACTATAAAGAACCTCAAGACTTTCGATATCAACTGAAAAAAATGAAGGAAAAATAAATCATTTCAGTATACATTCTTTTTATTTGTGTTGAAATCATTAACATGTTCTGTTGTTGATCTTTGGAGGGTACATCATCCAGTTCCTATCCTAAGGAACAATCACAGCCATGGTTTTTCTTTTAAAAGATGCTAGAGAATTTTCTCCATCTCTGTCTCCACCCCTCTCAGTGTGTCTACATTTGGGTCAAGAGCATATTTGCAACCAATGGATACACGCCAGTACTTATACTGCCTAAAGCCAAAGAAGGAATTCGCAGAAAAAGCAGGCATCATTAAGGGAGTAACAGTGATTGGAAAATTGGATATAGTATGGAAAACAAATCTAGGTGAAAGGGGAAGGTTACAGACCAGCCAACTTCAAAGAATGGTGAGTTTGGAAAAAACTTCACTGGGGTTTTGGTGTGTGAGAGACAGGCAGTTAAAACAACTTAATTTTTTCTACGTCTAGCAGTAAAAAAATTGGAGCACTATAAAAGGCATTAATACTACTATAGAAGAAAAGATTAATAGTTTCACTGATAGATAGGTAGAAAACTGGTGTTGCCGTGAATGAAAAATGGTCAAATGTTAAATTTATCCTTCATACATGTGTTCTTTATCAAACAGAAATTAAAATAACTGTTTATCAAGTGTCCCTCCTTTGGTAACACAGGCCCACTCTTCTTCTGACTTCCAAACACATTAAGGTTTTCTATTTTGCAATGTCCTGAAACTCTTGGACTTACTTCATTTACCTACTCAGTTCATACCATTTTTAAGATGTTAAAAAAGGTGAGTTCTACTAAAGTTATCTTATAAGCATTGGTTGCATATTTTACCTAATTTCTTCTCTGAGAGTAGGGATAGCTATCAGGCTTCTTTTTCTTATGCTTATAAGAATATATAACAGGATTCTCCTCCCTTTATGCTGAATATTACCTGTTTTGATATATTCCAAATTTTACTTTTCTTTTCACTGAGGCAGTAATTTTAAAAAATGATGATGATGATGATGATGATGATGATGATGATCATCCCTGGGCCCACTTAAATATAGCCATTAGTTATTTTTCTACCACGGCCTGTTCCAAGCCTTCCTGTTGTTATAGTCCATCCTCCTCTGTGCATCTTGTAAAAAGTCATGATTTTCTTCCTGGCTCCTTTCAACATCATCCCGCTCTTTCTTTAGACAATAACTGCCTATTTAGAGTTACAGACATAGAAGCTACAGCATCTGGAAAGTGTCCCTTCAAGTCCCTGAAATTTCTTTACTGACTGCTTACCTGTGAGATTCATCTTTACTCTACTGAACATGGAATAATTATTTATATAACAAAAACAGTCCAGGTCTGCCGTGCTATTCCACAGGCAGTAGCTGCCAAAGAACTTAAAATGAGGGATGAATAAAGTGAATCAGAAGTATTTTCTTAGAACATCAGCTTGGAAACCCAACAGCTGTTGAGTAAATGTGCTGCTGTGGTGCCTTCATTAAAATGGAAAGGTTTTGTGATAGATAATACATTAACTGTGTTGCTTGTTTTCTTAGGCTCCAGGTTATGGAGACGTTAGGTTGTCTTTGGAGGCAATACCAGATACCGTAAACCTTGAAGAACCTTTTCATATTACCTGTAAAATAACAAACTGCAGGTAATGCCACTGTTTGTGGATGCATGTCCTTTCTACCTCACCTACCTAGAAGAGAATTTTAAAATCTTTTTGTTACTGTCTCCTTTTAAGTTTTCCTCAACATATAGCCTTCTCTGATGTTGATATTGAGTACTGTAAAATTCTTCATCTGGTAGCAGTATAATTACATATTTTTAAGGGCCTATTTTATTATGCATCTTCTGTATTTTGTTTCGTTCATGTGTCACACGCTATGAGGTAGGTATTCATTGTTTATACTTCCTTCACCAAAACATGAACTAATAGGTTCTTATGTATTAATATATTATGAATTGAAGTAGTAAGATTTTTTGAGGCATACTTGTCCTTGAGCTGTATCTTGAGTATTAAGAAACCAAACATTGCTTATGGATTTAATGTAAGGGGAAATCATTGATTCGAAAACAGGGTTTTGACAGTGAAGAGAGAGCATAATCTGAACTGTCAGGAAGCAAAGAGCACAGGGCTTTGAAACCAGAAAAAAAATAGAATTAAGTTCCAGTCCTATGCCCTCTGCTCCTACTTGTATTACCACTTGGTTTGTATTATTATTTGGGGTATTTTGATATTATTGCAGTGATGAATCTCAGCCCTTTTAGTGTGCATGTATAATCCTTTTAATTCCATATTTATTCTGACTTTTTTGTATTAGAAAGATAGGAAATATTTATCCTTCAAAATTACAGAAATACCCACTTCCTCTATGAAGCTACCCAGACTTTCCAAAGCACAGGTATTCATGCCTTCTCTATCATAGAAAATATTTACTTAGTTTTTTTAGTGACACTCATATATTGTGTATTTAGTGACACTCATATATTGCTATAAGTATTAGTCTCTTTCTCACTCGATTGTGAATTATTCAAGAGAAAGGACATGGCCCTTAGTGTCTGCCACATCGTGAGCTCAGTAAACAACAATACAGGGCAAAGACCCTGTGCTTGTAGGGTGTTACAGAGTGTTGGGGAATTTTTCTTTTTTTTTTTAAGTTTTTTCAGCAAATCAGTTTATTGACCAGCTCACAAGTGTTATTTTTTTCAAAAGTTAACTTCTTTTGGTGTTCACTTTAACTTTTGGTGATTGAAATAAGTTTTCTAAAAAGCACATGTCTCTTATATCTTTAACTTCCTCTCTATATAAATGTCATTCCCTGCCCCTACACACCAGAGAGATGCACAGACACATGCACACAACATATATAAGTCTTACTGAATTTTTGTGAAATTAACAATATTCACGTAGTACATCTACCCTGGTCTCTGGCACATAGTAGCCATCTCAAATATTTGTTAGGGAGATACAGACATATACAAGTTAATATTATAAAGTCAATATGTCTTAAAAAAATAAAATTTAAATAAGGAATTTAAAATTTGGAGCCAAGTATAAGAATAAATAGCTGAAAGAGCCATAAGTAGCCATGAATGGTGGTAGGAGACTATTTTTCGTTATGAGTCTTTTGGTTATTTGAAAAAGAACAATATGCATACTTTCATTAAAAGTTGTTTTAACTTATTTAAGCTGAACCGGTGATATCTGTTATAAGCCGATATATAACAGACTATATATCTGTAGTCTTTTCTTGGTAAATAATCCAGTTAGCAAACCTGAATAGTATTTACGTCTTATGAATCCTGCCAGTTGTTTCCCAAGTTATGGTAAAGTAACATAGATTAAATATCAAAAGGACAAGACCAGAATCAGTTGTTTTCTTCTTTTCCTGTAGAGTACCTAACAGAAATAGAATATATGGCAACAAGATTAGTCACAAATGTGTGGAAGTCTCCCAGAAAAATGGCAGCACCAGATCAGCACCTGGAGGCCAGTGTTGAGTAATAGAACCAGAAGGCCAACATCAGACAGGCAGACTAGTCTGAGGCCGTTTTAAGTGCTAGAAGATGTGACTTCATCTTCCTGATTCTATCTTAGGTGACATATAAATGTAGTAAGAGCTTTTCTCTTTCTGGTTTTTATTCTCCTCGATACGGAGAAAACAAGTTTACTGTCAATAGTAGAAATATCGCAGTACCTCTTTGTGAAATGAACAAGATTTATTCCTATTATTCTGATTCCTCCAGCAGTGAAAGGACTATGGATCTGGTTTTGGAAATGTGCAATACCAATTCCATCCACTGGTGTGGAATTTCAGGAAGACAGCTGGGAAAGCTGCATCCAAGTTCTTCGCTCTCTCTTGCCCTTACTCTGCTTTCTTCAGTACAGGGACTGCAAGTATGCTGTCTTTTCAAAAATTCCAATATTTGGGTGCTGTTAACTTACAAAAATTGGTTTTTCAATGCATCATTATTTATTGCCATAACAAATTGTTTGGTCCAAAATGAAAGCTATATTCAGAAGGTTTGCACCTCAAAATTGAGTAATAATTAATGAAATGTCTGTACAAAATAAAGTGCAAGCAGTGTAAAATTGAAGTCTTTGTTTCAAAAGTCATTTGTGATATTCATATTTCCTCTGAATGGATGAAAACTTAGACTCATCTTTCTCTCTCTCTCTCTCAATAGAGCATCTCTGGCTTAAGACTAACAGACACATTCTTAAAGAGAACATATGAATATGATGACATCGCACAAGTCTGTGTGGTATCTTCTGCCATTAAAGTGGAAAGCTGAAGGAAATTTCCAATGTTATGCTTTTCATTTAGTTTCACAGAACTGCTTTTTGTCACCTTTGTAAAATGATGACGTCAACAGCGAAGTAAATGTTATTTAAATTTCTTTCCTGTAAAATAGTTAAAATATTAAATATTTGTTTTGAAGAGATCTGATTTTATCTTGTAAGTTATGTTCGAAATGAACATGTGTAGATTTTCTACACCTATTTAATTTCATTTCATTTTAGATGACCACTGGACTTTGTTCTCCAAAAGCTGTGTATCTGAGACCATTTGTCCCTAGCCAGTATCTAGAACACGAGTCAGCAAACTTTTTATGTAAGGTACAAGACACTAAATATTTTAGGCTTTGCAGGCCATAAGGTTTCTGTCACAAATACTGAACTCTGCCATTGTACTGCAAGAGCAGCCAGTAGGCAAAAAAAGTACAGTGGTGTACATAAAAAGCAGCAGCTGGACTCAGGAAGCTGAGGCAGGAGAATCACTTGAACCCAGGAGGCGCAGGTGGCAGTAAGCTGAGATCATGCCACTGTACTCTAGCCTAAGCGACAGAGCAAGACCCTATCTCAAAAACAAAAAGAAACAAAACAAACAAAAACCCTTTCTCACTAAAAGAACTTACATTCCTCATATTTCAATCTAGAAGAAAGAGTTGTTTCTTAGAACTTTGTAACATTTTGTTTAGAAATATTTCAGTTAACTCTAGTTTTCTTCCTAGCTATTCAGTCAGCAGAAAAAGTTTGCTTAAAACAAAGGGGGTAGTCCCCTTATAACCTGGTATTTGTTAACACAGTATAAGCTTTCTAATTGTTTTCAAAATTACTGTAATGGTTTGTGTCTGTATTTGTATATTATACCTACAAACATACATGTCTTTCAGCTACTGAACAGATCAGAATTGGTTTTACTTTTTAGGTTGTTGATTTTTTTCATTAACTATTAACTAAGAATAATACTTATTATAAGCCAAAAATTGCTGGGTTTTTTTCTCATTGATTAAACCACTTATTTTTATATGGTATATTTAAATAATTTCTATCTTCTGATATGATTTTAAACTCTACATCATGTGTTACTGTTATAAAACTTTCTGCATGTGATCACACTTAGTTATGAGCAAAGCAGTGAGAAAGTTGAGGTGATAAACAACTTTGCAGCATTAATGTAACAAAAAGTTTAAGTATTTTGTCAGGAAAACAAAAGCTTAGGCTGTTAAATAAAAGCTATTCTATTTTGGTAAGTTGAAATTCAAGAATGTATATATAATTTCTTAAATGTAAGAGTGCATTAAATCAAATACAAAAATTGGTTTTTCAATGCATCATTATTTATTGCCATAACAAATTGTTTGGTCCAAAATGAAAGCTATATTCAGAAGGTTTGCACCTCAAAATTGAGTAATAATTAATGAAATGTCCGTACAAAATAAAGTGCAAGCAGTGTAAAATTGAAGTCTGTCTTTGTTTCAAAATGATTAAGATTGATTAAATGATGAAATAATATTTTATGGCCACTGCACTGGATACTTGGATTGTTTTTCAAGCATCTTCTTATGACTGAATCTTCTGTTTCATTCTGTTTTAAATCTTAAAAGTAATATCATGGTCACTTGGAATCTGCTCTGTACTTTAATTATAGTCTCCTCTGTTATAAACAATAACGTGGACACATATTTTTCATAGTTTTAAGTAAAGATTAGATAATGCCATCTCAGAAAGGATCTGTTTAACCTATATTATAAAAGTTAGATACACAATTTGGTACATTAAATGAAAATGTCATTTGCATATATAGAACCTATTCTGTTTTACATAGTATCATAATAGCTACAGCAACTACAAGAAATGGAAGTCAAACATTTAGTAGGGTGCTTAAAGAGTTAGTTTAATAATGTCTTCTTACTTTTCTAGTTAGATAGCAACTATATTTCCCAGACAAGCAAGAAAATATATGGGGCAGTTTTTATAAATTGAAAAGTAGCTAGCACAATCCAACCACGCAAAATTTTTTTGAAATAGCTTGCAATGCTGTGATTCCAAAGTGATCAAAGTACTTGAAGAGCAAAAATGGCTTGAATAGAATGGAAATGTAGGTAAGTGGACAGATAGCATCTGGATTGAATTTGTTACAGGTGGTATATTAGCAAAGAAACAAATAGAAAAGTGAAATGGAAGAAACATACCAATTTCCCATTATTTCATATAAAAAGAATGGCTAATTTACAGATGTTAGCACATGAAGACATTGTTCTAAAGTTTTTTTTCTTATAGTATCTTTGGGTAATACTAGTCAAATAAAATGAGTTGGGAAGTATTTTCTCCTCTTCTGTTTCCTGGAAGAGATTGTTAAGAATTGCTATTATTTCTCCCTTAAGTGTTTGGTAAAATTCATCATTGAAGTTATCTGGGCCTGTAGTTTTCTTTCCTGGAAGGTTTTTAACTTAACCACAAACTCAATTTCCTTAATAAATACAGGTCTGTTTAGGTTTTCTATTTCTTCAGTGAGATTTCTAGTTTGTATCCTATAGGGAATCTGTTTCATCTAAGTTGTTAAATATACAATCCTTGAGTTGGTCATGGTGTTTTCTAGTTAGCCTTTTAATACCTATAGTGTCTGTAGTGTATCCCCTCTTTCATTTCTGACACTGTGAATTTGTATCTTCTGTTTTTCTAGGCAGTGAGCTAGAAGCTTATCTTATTGCTCTAAAAGCATTTTAAATGCACTCAAGATAGTTACGCTAGAAACTTTTGACTTCTTATTCAACACTGAATATGGGTGACTAATTTTTAATTAAGAATCTATTTTGCTTTTTATATCACAGTAATGACTTCTATGTGTTAGTAGTACTACTTCGTTCTGTGTAATACTGGAATACTAGGAGATTATTCTAACTTAGTGAAAAACAAAGTTGGCTTAGATGGAATACGAATTTAACTTCTGAGGGCCGAAGACTTGAATTCTGCTTTTTTTAAATTCTGCAGAACTATATATCTTCATACAGATCTTCACTGTAGCTTTAGCCAGGTGCTTAGGTGTTTGCAGGTCTAATTGAGAAACCTCTAACCTAGTGTTCCTCTAAGTTAGAGTCCTTGGATCTGTATCAAAACCACCTAGTGTACTGTTTAAAATGGCCATTCCTAGGCCTTATTACAGGACCTACTATAACAGAATTGAACACGTGGCCCTGAATCTGCATCTTTAATGAATTCTCCAGGTGAGTCTTACAATGAAGTTATAGAAGTACTATTCTGACGTCACAAAGTAGAAAGATAAAAGTTGGTTTTTAAACCTCAAGATACAAAATAATTAGTCTCTCTCTTTTTTTTTTTTTTTTTTTTTTTTTTTTTTTTTTTGAGATAGAGTCTTACTCTGTCACCTAGGCTGGAGGGCAGTGGCGCAATCTCAGCTCACTGCAACCTCCACCTCTCGGGTTCAAGTGATTCTCATGTTTCTGCCTCCCACGTAGCTGGGACTATAGGCACCTGCCACCAAGCCAGGCTAACTTTTGTATTTTCAGTAGAGGTGAGGTTTCACCGTGTTGGCCAGGCTGGTCTCAAACTCCTGACCTCAGGTGATCCCCCCTGCCTCAGCCTCCCAAAGTGCTGCCATTACAGGCATGAGCTACTGCGCCCAGCCGATTAGTCTTTTGATAAGGGTTCTATAAGGCCTAATCATCTGCATTATTACTAATTTAATTTTATATTGCTTCCTGGCCAGGCACAATGGCTCACACCTCTAATCCCAGCACTTTGAGGGGCCAAAATGGGCAGATGACTTGAGGTCAGGAGTTTGAGACCAGCCTGGCCAATATAGTGAAACCCTGTCTCCATTAAAAACAAAAATTAGCGGCTAGGCACAGTGACTCACGCCCGTAATCCCAACATTGGGGAAGCCAAGGCAGGCGGATCACAAAGTCTAGAGATAGAGACCATCCTGGCCAACACAGTGAAACCCCGTCTCTACTAAAAATACAAAAATTAGCTGGGCGTGGTGGCGTGTCCCTGTAATCCCAGCTACTTGGGAGGTTGAGGCAGGAGAATCACTTGAACCCGGGAGGCAGAGGTTGCAGTGAGTCAAGATTGTGCCACTGCACTCCAGCCTGGCGACAGAGTGAGACTCCATCGCAAAAAAAAAAAAGAAAGAAAAATTAGCTGGGCATGGCGGTGGGCACCTATAATCCCAGCTACTTGGGAGGTTGAGGCTCGAGAATCGCTTGAATCCAGGAGATGGAAGTTGCAGTGAGCTGAGATCACAACACTGCACTCAAGCCTGGCAAAAGAGTAAGACTCCATCTCAAAAAAACCCCACAAAATTTATATTACTTCCTTTTTCAGTTTTCCCTTGTAAAACTTGTGAAGTCATTACATGTCAGCACCAATTTCATGATTAATAAAAAATATACTCTAGTTGGAATTAAACTCTCATCATCAATGTAGTTAGACCCATGCTATTTATGCCTAATGCCCCTTTTCTCCACTAACTAATATGGCATCTCATTTATAATAAAATATTTTAAGTCTCCTGTTATATTTAAATTGCATCAAATTTAAATTATGTTAACTATAAGACTGGCATGCCAAGCCAAATTATCACAGAAGCTTACATGAACAAGCAATGTTAGTGATAGATGCTTTTTGTTATCCATCAAATAATTACTAAGTTTTCTTTTTTAAAAAAATCAGTGTTTATGGGCACACAATTAAATACCATTTAGAGCATCCTTAACTTAGGACCAGGTCACTGGCTTAGTTAAAATATGTTTATATTTGATAGTTTCCAAGGTAAGGTTACCATTGGGAAAATTGTGATAATTAAGTCATACAGTTATATCACTGACCTAACCAGTACATTAAGGATGTCTAAATGTATCTTATTGTGTGTTTAGCGTAAGTGGCCATGCTAATGTTATCAATACCAAACTGCAGACAAGATTAGTTAAGAACTATGCAGAAAACCTGAGCATCCTACCTTTACTTTCTGTACATTCACATTACCAATTTTTTCTTTTCAAAACATCCCTTGCATCAAGTGCTACTTTCTAACAGCTCTTAAGATTCTCTGTTCACCAGAACAAACAACATTAAAGATCATATTGGTTCCCATGTTATATATTCATTACTGATAGCACTTATCAAAGCTAAATGTA